CCTCATGAAGAGAGGAAGATAATTAGAAGGGGCTGTTGCTAAGATTGTTCAATAAAAGAAAAGACATGAAGTGTGAGGATAGTTTTAAATCAAAACTATCCTATATTTGGAGCATCACCTGATGCAATCTGTGAACATTTTGTAGTGAAAGTCAAATGCCCAAATAAGCAGACAACAGTCAAAAAAGTATTTAAAAGCAAATGGAAAATTATCAATAAAATATTTATGCCAAATATATTTGCAGTTGCAGATGTTGTTTGTTGTCAAACAAAGGGGACTTTTTTGTGTTGCTTCACCCTAATTTGAAGAGAATGAAGATGTAACAATCGTAAAAGTAGAATTAAATAAAATGTTTTTAGATGTTATTATTAAAGAAAGTAAGGAGTTTTGAAAAACCCATTTATTTTCAAGACGCCTTTTTCTTAATAATCCAAATTTTTTTTCAAAACTTACGTTTTAAGCTTTAGGAAGGATAGCAATCTTCAAATGTATCTGCGGAAACGCCTTTTACTTTTTTTTTCTTTTTTATGTATTATTAAGGAATTTCGAGGATTATTTATATAAGCTTCTTTTTAGAATTATATCTGTCCTGTCATACTAGAAACTGTCAGGTCATTACAAATGCACGGTGTTGTCAATTCTAATCGACGAAAAAGAAATGCAAAAAATATAACCACACTACCAGTGGAAACCGCAAAAAAAGGTGATTTTAATTAGGAATTTATAGTAACAAATTAATAATTACTTGAGCATGCTTATTTGTTTCTAACTCTGAATTTTATATCCGTTAATCTTTTGACAAATACCACAGAAATTGTTCTACGAAAGTGCGGTGTTGTCAAACGGTGTAAAATTACGAGTTTTTTACCTACAAATAATTTAACTTTTGGTAATAATCATACAGAGATTAAAAAATATATATATTCTACCTATATTTTAGGTTATATTTAGAACGTTTATGTTCCAAAAAAATGAAAAATCGAGTTGGGTACATCTTTTCTGTCGGTTTTACCTCTTGTATATTCGCCTGGGCACTGGCAAATATTTTGCTAGGCGACTAGATGTTCTTTTGACGTTTTTGCATTCAACATAATATGCGCGTTAAATAAAAAAATTAATCATGGCTTATTATGTGTGAAGATACGTGTCTTCTAAATACAACATGGACTTATTTATTCGCGATAGTGTTACGTGCCCGACTTGCAGTAATACAGTTCCCCTAAATTGGGATCGAAAGGAATATCGTTGCCAAAAGTATTATTTAAAAATTAAGCATAACAAAAAAATGTAGCTTTTAAAGATACATTTTTTAACGAATCCCATTTTAATGTTCATTTCCTATTTTGTTACACTTGCACCTCCGCGGCAAGATATAATAGCCAGTGAATTGGCCCTTGGTTCAGACATTATTTTCGATTGGATGTCGTTTGCCAGGGAGGTTTGTACATTTTTTAAAAATCAAACCCGCGCAATGATTAGTGGACCAGATGAACTATAAATAGATGAAGCGAAACTTGGAAAAAGTAAATACAATAGAGGACGAATGATTAAAGGCCAGTGGGTGTTTGGAGGCGTTCAGAGGTCTGACCCAACCAAAAAATTTTTTAGTTGTTGCTATGTCCAATCGCACGAGGAAGACCTTAATGAACGAAAATATTTTGCCCGGAACAAGGATCTTCAGCGATTGTTGGAAGGCTTACGATTGCTTAGATGATTTAGGCAATTATTTTTTATATCGTTTGATTATAACAGATAATATAGGGTGATTTAGGTTGGTGGATTGTATATCCGTGAAGTGATCTTACTACTTTTGTAGACCCTGACTCGGGAGCACATACACAAAATGTGGAAAGAATGTGGAGGGAATTACGGGCAAATTGCGAGACATACGCTGCCGTTATCTCACTATAGTGACTTACATTCACTACATAAATATCTTCTTCACACTTGCATTGCTTCACTTGCGTCACACGCGTCAAACACGTTAAATACCCGTTATTCCTTGATAAACTTTTCTTGCATGGCAGTTCTATAAAGACAAAAGATGGAGCTCATCACCTCGTTGCTAGGAATAAAATATTGATTTCGATTTTGAGTTTTTACACGCGACATGTCGTTCATTTAACATATAATATACAGGATGAGTTGGGAGGAGCACACTCTAGGAGTAAATTATACACGTGAAAATAATGTAAAAAACTCATATGTTCTTATCCGATTTTCATTTGTTTTCAAGTTATGGCGTAATTAAAAATGTTCATCTAGCTTTCCACTTCTGAATTTTAACATTATCAAAGTATGCCATATGTTCAAGGCTCAAAGGCATTTGATAATTCTGTCGTTTTGATGAACTGTCAGTGTACAGTGAACAGTAACTGAACGTTTAATTTCGAATTTATGTGATTGTTAGTGTTGCAAAATGCCAGATACTTATTCAAATTTAGAATGTACAAATATGGTGTTTGTTTATGGTTTCTGTAATGGAAATGCTACAGCTGCTGCTGAAGAATATCGTTTTCCACACCGAAGACATCCTGATAAAAACGTATTTATTAGAGTTTTCAACAAATTGTGCGAGAATGGTAAGCTTCCCAGTGCTTACATAACATCTGTACGCGCTACTCGACAAGGTTTTGTAGAAGTAGAAAATATTCTGCATCTAGTAGAAGAAGATGCAACTACTAGCTCACGGAGAATTGCCACTCAATTGGGAATTCCACAAAAAAGAGTGATAAACACACTCTACGAGCAAGGCTTATATCCTTATCACGTACAGAGAGTACAGCACCTACAACCACAGGATTACGCTAACCGTATGGAGTTTTGTCGGTGGATAAATAATAATCATCGTATTGTATCGAGTATACTCTTTACGGATGAAGCTACATTTACCCGTGATGGCATTAATAATACTCGTAACTATCATGTATGGTCAGACGAAAATCCCCACGCAACAGTCGAAAGCAATTTTCAACATCGGTTTTCTGTAAACGTGTGGTGTGGTATGGTTGACAGTTATTTAATTGGCCATTTCATTTGGGAGAATCGTCTCACAGGAGACAACTACCTCAATTTTTACAAAATGAATTGCAAGGCCTGCTAGAGGATGTTCCTGTAAATATTAGAATGCAGATGTACTATCAGCACGATGGAGCTCCTGCACATGTCGCTCGTCAGGTCAAGCAACATTTGGACGAACGTTTTCCAGGGCGTTGGATTGGTCGTGGAGGTCCTATTAATTGGCCTGCAAGATCTCCAGACCTCACACCATTAGATTTTTGTTATGGGGGTGGATGAAAAATGAGGTCTATAAAATAAAAGTGGACACACGTGATGCACTAATTAGACGAATTGAGAATACTGCAGCCCATATTAAAGAAGAAAGAAATGAATCAATTAGGAGAGCAACAAACGCTCTTCGTAGACGAAGCAGAAAATGTTTAAAAGTCAATGGCGGTATTTTTGAACATTTATTCAAAGAACGCTATGATTAAGAGAATTTTTATGTGTAAATTTGTTTATTTTTTAATATGCTATAACTTGAAAACAAATGAAAATCGGATAAGAAAATATGAGTTTTTTTACATTATTTTCACGTGTATATAATATACTCCTAGAGTTTGGTGCGCTCCTCCTGACTCACCCTGTATATATCCTCCAATTAATTATTTATTTATTTATTTATGATGGGATCTAATTATATTTAAAGATCCACAATGGTGATCCCGAATAAACAGCCCGAGATGGAGCCACATATAAACTAGCACCTACAATTGGTGACCCCCTTAGCAGCACCACCTTACCAACATTATGGAACAGGTGTAATCGCCAAACATAAAAAGGAGAACAGAAAAAAGTCGGGGAGTAATATCGGAAGACGACGGGACCCACCAACCAAGATAAGAAATATAAGAAATTAACTACAGGACAGGGAATACGAATCAGCGTCGTCAAGGCTCGGGTAAGTAGGGTTTTACTCATTAGATAGTAAAGTCGATATACCTCCCGAGACGATTGCATTACATTCTGACCATGTCATCCCACGATGAAGGCTCTTCGACCCAACCTTCCATTCCATTGCAAGACAATATTTTTTTGAAAGATATTTCAAAAGTAAAACTTCCAGCTTTTTGGGTCCATCAACTAGATCTATGGTTCAAATACATTGAAAGTTAATATTTTATTCCTAGCAACGAGGTGATGAGCTCTATCTTTTGTCTTTATAGAACTGCCATGCAATAAAAGTTTATTAAGGGATAACGGGTGATTGACGTATTTGACGCGTGAGACGCAATGCAAGTGTGAAGTAGATATGTAGTGAATGTAAGTCATTACACTCACCCACCTCCCACTACAGAAGAGAGTGAGCGAATCGAGCGCGCCCGGCCGACGTTTCTAAATTCGCGTGCAAAATAATAAACTTTTTTATAATAAAGCTAGCTGTGTTTTAATTAAACTTAATATACTTAGTTAGGCTGTCGCAGATTTTCAAAGGTAGTGTAAATATCTATGCAATTGCAGCAAGTAAGGATATGTCTTAAATGTTCCAAGAAATTCTGTCCACTGTTTCGAAATGCATTCTTTTTTATGACACGATTTTTAATCTCGGCGATTTTAATCTGTCTGTTTTGAGCTGCTCATCTAAGTTATTTGCCTCAAATCCAGTTTATTTCTACGGCGTATATAATTATCCGCACAAAAAAGAGGTTCATGCAGATTTTCTATATTTTAATAATAAATTTAGAGAAAAGTAAATGGCTGTATCAGAGGTACTGGCCGCGAAGCAGCGTTAGTTGATGCAATAAAAACCAGCAGAAGAAATTCCGCTAGATGAAAGTGACGAAACAAAACAATATTTCTTGTCGCTCAATGAAAGAGTTCAAAAGATGCAAGGGGTGAAGGAAGTTGAGTAAGAAGCAATCCGCTCTAGTAGCGAAGCGAATCGATCAACATCAATAATCCTAAATGATGACTCGCTTGAGGTAGAGGAGCCGTGTATGATGGGTGTTAAAGAGTTCATAACGTTTGACGAATCCAAAAATCAGTATATTATTCCAGTAGTAAAACTCGGTGGGCAAAAGCGTTGGAGTGCAGTGATTATAAAACAAAAGGCACATAGGAAACTAGCAGCTAGGACTTTAGCGGTCCACAAACTAGAGACACTGGTCTTCGATCAGCTAGGAAGCGCTGCTTTCCAAATTAGAAACATCCGATGTCTAATTGACAATACGACGGATGGTCTTTGGGTTGAAACACCTGAGGATGAAGATGAGTCAACAACACTCATCAAAAGCTCAGAGGCACCAACCGAATTGTGACAAATCGACGGTTCATGTTTGATGCCAAACTCACAGATGACCTGGTGGCAGTAACATTGTCAACATCACCAGAAGTAAGAGCTAAAGCAAAGCTAAATTTGAATTCAAAACTACCGCAATATATTCATCATGGATGTTGTTATGGACTATTTTTCAAAGTAGCCCGAAATAGTGCCTATCCCTAATCAGGAAGCGACGACAGTAGCGGAAGCATTTGTGACGACCGTTATTGCGAGACACGGAGTCCCCCTGGAATTACATTCTGACCAAGAACGAAATTTTGAATCCGAATTATGGCAAGAATTAATGAAACTGTTACATCAGAAAAACACGCACTACGCTTCTACACCCACAGTCCGACGGAATGGTAGAAAGACACAACAAAACGATATGCCAGTATCTTTCAATGTTCGTCTCTGATAATCAAAAGGACTGGGAAACTTTAATTCCTTTATTTCTGCTAGCCTACCGAAGTTCTGAACATGAAACGACCAGTTATACCCCATCCATGATGATTACGGGAAGGGAGATGAAACTTCCCCATGATCTTCTACTTTTTATCCCACCGCTGTCACCAATGTTACACAGGTTTTTGGTATCACAATTTATTTCAGTTCAACTTTACAATAACTCAATCCAAAAGAAAAGCATCAAAAACAATTGGATTCCAAGAAAGTAACAGTTTGGTGTGCCATGTCGTCTACTGGAATAATAGGGCCCTCTTTTTTTGAGGATGCCCGTGGCCGCTCTGTAACGGCAACAAGTCAACGGTACACTGCAATGCTCCTCCACCAATTTTTGACTCCAGCCCTTCAAAACTTTCCTGGCTATATAACCCCAATTGGACCTGGTTTCAACAGGATGGGGCGACGGCACACACAGCAGCAATATCAATGGATACTGTACGTGCATTGTTTCCAGGAACTGTTATTTTGAAATTTGGGGACATCACTTTTCCGCCAAGATCACCAGATCTTACGCCCCTAGACTTTTTTGTGGAGATATTTAAAGAGTATCGTCTACATCGATAATCCAGCCACTACGGAACAGTTAAAACACAACATTCGAGAGGCCATTGCCAACATTCCTGTTGAAATATGTCAGCGGGTTTTTCAACATTTAAGAGCATCATTGGAGGAGTGCTATGCGAGGGATGGTCGACATTTGGACAACATTGTGTTTAAAAAATAAAATCCGCATTTCTGTACTTCCAAAATTTATTAATAAAATTATCCCTACACTTTTTATTCTGTTTTTATAGCATGTTAAAAAAGGAAATTTACTCTGAGTCACCCAGTATTTTAAATTAACATTCAAAAGAAAACACACGTAGGTATTGCACAAAGTCAACAATTAGGTTATTAATCTAGTCAATGGCTTACATTGAATTAGAGAATTCAAGGTAGAACGCTGACATTTTTAAAAGTAAAAATTACACGTACATTTTGGGTTTATATAGAGAGACTAGATAGAAAGAAGAGACTTCAAGTGAGGAATAAAGTCCAGACTCTCGCCGAATGCGAGATCTCTCGTTTTTGGGACGCTAAGTCCCGAAATAAAGTAATGTGTAAGTTTTTGTGCAGCGATTTGCGATATGGGTAAATATATTTAACTTAGTTTTAAAGTATTTTGTTTGAGATAATTAAATGAGTTACACATAAATGCTAATTTTACATTTTCGTCCTGAGTATTATATTTATCTTATATATATATATTAGATTATTATATACCTAGTTTCCAGTGCTATTTTTAGTTGTTAATAAGTCCAAACCATATAGTTCAATAAAATGTTTATCTAGTGACATAAATCTTTATTTGTTTGGATATATTATTAAATAGTGCATTATTCCGTAAATATAATTTTATTCATTCATTCCTGAGACTATTAGTCATTTTTTTTATTTTTAATATACATTTTCAGCATAAGCAGACTTAAATATAAGAGTAACAAATTTCACGACTTAATACACAACCATTCACTATACCCCGTAGACTTAATACAACGATTGGGAAGTGAGAACGCACACTGGAGAAGAGATGATGACAGAAAAATTGAACTCTTATTAAGACATGACATGGTTTGCGTTCTCTTTTGTAATTTAGAAACAAATCTCATGACAAAGAGAAAACGCCAAGAAAGCCAAAGGAGCACAGAATTTTAAAGCACTAGAAAAAAGATAGCTGTTATTAAAGATATTAATGCCCCAAGCGCTTCCAACATTGAGAGCCAAACAATTGCGTCCTCGGGCTCGAGCTCTAGCACATCCATCCCTGAGGATGCAGTTACAGGTTATGAGTCTGAAGAAAAGTTCAGATTTTGGTTTCTCGAAGGCATGCCCAAATGAAGCTGCCAAAGAATGGAAAATTGACCCTTGGCTCAAATTGGGACATAATTGACAGGAAAACAAAAAAATGATTGAAGTAAAAGTGACTCTAAGTAAAGATGCTGCTATAATTGACTATAGCGCCAAGGCAATGACTTTAGGTGACAATTCAGTTCTATTTTGGATAAACCAGAACCCTTGACCTCATATGACTTAACCATGATGGAGATGGTACGGAAGTAAGTAAAGTTAAGGCATTCTTAACAAATATAAAGCAGTTCATGCAAATGTTAAGAATACAAGAGAAGAAATCTATGGTCTGAAAATCTTGGAGAATCCATTCTTTGCAGCAGCTACTTAAACAGTTTAGTAAAAGAATGGAAAGATACTTAGTGGCCCATGAGACATGATGACATCGATGATAATCAGTTTTATGAGAAAGACAAGAACCAACTTTCACTAATAACAGCAAAAAAGCTTTTGGAGCACCTTGAAGACCCTGAAAAACCGAAAGGAGAGACTATAAAGCTGGAGGGGTAGAATTGTTCCTGACAATTTTGCATTCATCCTAATGACAGAACTGGAAACTGATCAAAAAATGGTCAATTTCTTCTGGGAAACAATAAAAAGGGTGGAAACATGGACCAGTAGAAAAAGAATTGGATAAGCTGCAGATGATCTTTTCCAAATTACAATATTAGATGAGTTGATCCAGTTTCTTCAGCACTTTAGCAAGACAACCTTCAATATAGACAGTGATTCAAAGTTTTCTACAGAAAAAATTGAAGAATGCCTTGGAGTAGCTGCAAATAAAGGAGACCACAACTAACTTGACACAACAACCGTTCAGCCGGAGTACAACGTTGCAAAAAAGGAGAGGTACCATAAGTTCTAAGAGGAATGAATTAATATTCAGCAAGCTTAAGAGAAGGGTACCTACCATTCAGAAACCTTCTAGAAACCCCCATCGAGTGCGGACACTCTTTAGTTCAGGTATGCGAAAAATCAACGAGTATGATCCTAGAGGCCTTGCTCCCAAGCAATTCAGCAATCATTTTTGCGAAATTGACAAACATCTACTCCAGAGTTGGAGGGGCATACCTTTTGAAGGCTGAAAGGAAGGAACACAAATTCTCCTCACGGGACATGGCTGTGTTCCCAATATATGCCACGGTTCCCTCCAAAAACGACAAGTCTCCTCAACGTCTTATTTCAGGTATTATGATCAGGGAACCACACCATGCCAGGAATCCAACAGACGATGTTAATGTGTTAACTATTGAACTTCTGACTAGAGACAGCCCCACATGGACGTTTTGTCATAATATCAACAGAGCCATAATAGCGCAATGCAGCAATTTTATTTTAGTTGCAAGTCAAAATTCAATGAAGAAAATTGATCCAATTCATCTGACTTTCAATTAGAATGGGTTATTTTGTCCCATAAACCTAATAGGAGAAATGACAATGAACAACCTAAACTCTTCCTCGCACACCAATGTTAAAACAGTTATTCAAGATTTTGTTAGGGAAAATGAACAATGTGTATTAGAGAGGTTCACTGAAGGAGTTCTAGAAGCTGTAATTGGTGACTCAGCAGACGAAGGATACTCTACCGGTTTGAGGAAGTTATACATGGTGGTTCTTAGCTGGAGACGCAACAAAGCAAGTGCTCATTTCAACATAAAGAGGTTTTTTAGTTCAATAAATAAATGCCTAATAAACAACCCATTGGGTATGCATTTCCACATCAGTATGCAAGGTTCTTAAGATGTATGACACCTTATTAGATTTTTCATCCATAACATTGGAATGATTTGAGTGTTTGTAATTTTACGGGATTTCATAATTTAAAAAAAAAATAATCCGAACTTCACAAATCTGACTTACTTCCGTGTTACACAACAGATTTACATAATCAAGCTCCAATTAATATTATAATTCTTCCGGATTACAAAGAACTGATGCCCTCCTTACGGAATATTACATTCAAATTCGAAGTCGACAGGTTATTTTCACCTCATGGCAAAGAGAAAACGCCAAGGAAGCTAAAGCAGCACAGAGTTTCGAAGCCCTAGAAAAACAGATGGCTGTTATTAAAGATATTAATGCCCCAGCACTTCCAACATTGAGAGCCAAACAATAACTTCCTCGGGCTCAAGTTCTAGAACATCCACCCATGAGGATGCAGTTACAGATTATAAGTCTGAAGAAAAGTTCAGATTTTGGTTTCTCAAAGGCAAGCCAAATCTAGAGGAAAAATGGAAAAAAACATTATTGAGGTAAAAGTGACTTTAAGTAAAGATGCTGCTATAATGGACTATAGTGCCAAGGCAATGACTTTAGGTGACAATTCAGCTCTATTTTGGATAAACCCAGAACCCTTGATCACATATGACTTCACCATGATGGAGATGTTAGGGAAGTAAGTAAAGTTAAGGCAAACTTAATAAATAGAGCAGGTCATGCAAATTTAAGAATACAAGAAGGGGAATCTATAGTCTGAAAATCTTGGAGAATCCATTCTTTGCAGCAGCTACGTAAACAGTTTAGTGGCCTATGAGACATGATGACATCGATGCAAATCAGTTTTATGAGAAAGGCAAGGACCAACTTTCACTAATAACAGCAAAAAAGCTTTTGAAGCACCTTGAAGAGCCTGAAAAACAAGAAGTAAAGACAATAACCTGGAGGGATAGAATTGTCCTTAAGAATTTTGCATTCAACTTTATGATAGAATTGGAAACTGATCAAGAAATAGAATTTATCAATATTTAAGAAGATGTTGGTTTATTTAAAAATAATTGACCACTGAATGCCTACCAGTCTGGTAGGCATAAAAATTTGTGTTTGTATATTTAGTAAAATTCTTGGTTATAGAGGGAATTTATTGTAATATTATTGATGGCTTGTCGCAAATTTTTATTAAATCAAATAGACCTTTAAATCAAAATTTTGGAGGAAATACAGGAATTTTTGATATAAGTTACTTTAGAGTACCTGAAAACAATAGGTAAAAAATGTTGTTTTTCAGGACCCGGCAAAAGGTGAAAAACAAGAAAATTAAGTGTTTTTTTAAAAACGGTAGGTGCTATGAAAAAAAGTTCTAAATAAAAATTGTAAAGCATAAAGTTTTACATAAAAATGATATTAAGCATTTTTTGGAATTATTAAAACTAACAGTTAGGGTGTTTAGAAGTTAAGAGGAGATATATATATGAGCTGAAAATTCAATGATTTTTATTTGTTTTATTTATTTTAATTTCATTTTTGTGTAATTTTATTCATATTTATTTATTTTGTTTTAAATATTTTTAATAATTTTTTTATTATTTATTATTTTATTTTTTAATTAGTTTTTATTTATTTAATGGAACTTAAAATGGGCATTAAACTGTCGTAATGTCGTTTTTATTAGTTTATTACTCAGACAAGCCATAATAAGCTCACTTCAAAATTTATGTTACCTTTTTATAAAGTCGTATAATGTATTGAAAATTTGTAAATTTAAATTGTCATAACTTAAAAAAAACAAATGAAAAATTATTTTTCTAAGTAAACAAAAAGAAAATAAAAAATCGTTGAATTTTCAGCTCATTCATATATATCTTCTCTTAACTTCTAGACACCCTAACTCTATTTAATATCATTTTTATGTAAAACTTTATGCTTTACAATTTTTATTAAGAATTTTTTTTATAGCACCTACCGTTTTTAAATAATCTTTAAAAAACACTATTTTCTTGTTTTTCGCCATTTGCCGGGGCCTGAAAAACAATTTTTTTTTTTACCTATCGTTTTTAAATACTCTAAAGTATCTTATATCAAAAATTCCTGTATTTCCTCCAAAATTTTGAGTTAAAGGTCTATTTGATTGGATCGGGCACGGTGGTGTAGCGGTCTATCGCGCTTATATTCATTTATAGGCAAGTTTATGAGTCTGAGACTGCTGGGTTTCGAATCCCAGACCAGACCATGTGGATTTTTAATTAAATTGCATGGTTCGGTTTAGGATTTGATGTGTGGCGTATTAATAGAAATTCAATTTCTGTTGATATGACATGCAGATTAAAAAAATTCACCATACATTACCGTCTCGATGATGGTGGGTGAGGTTTTCCGGGTTTTCCTCACTTGTAAGTCAAATGGCACCATCAATCATCTTTAAGTCGCCCCGGAGCGCCACGGCAAATAATAATAATAGCCGTCCCTTTCCCCGGACAAGCTCAGCTTTTGGGGTTAAAATTCACTCGTAAGGGGGTGAATTAGGGAGAGTATTATTATTATTATTATTATTATTATATTAGAACTTTTAATTGTAGATGTAAGAAGTGGTTATTTAGATCAATCTAGATCTAGTTATGTTGACACGCCACCAAAAAGGACGATGTTGCCTTATTGCGTTTGCTAATCCTAAGGTGTGGAATATCATCAAACAGCATCTATATCTTTTAACTGGGAAGGATTTTTCTTTAAAAGACCACCTCGATTTAATAATGTGGCTAGAGAGAACAAAAATAAATACATTTAAGTGGATAAACAATGGGTTCATTGAAATAAATTTGTAAACTTATAATTCAAATATAAAGTAAAAATTGTATTTAATTTTGTTAATTTTTTTACATGTAATTATCTTGTTAGTGTTTTTCATATACCAATTTAAGATCTGGTACTAAAGAGGAATACAGTGAAAAAGAACAATTGTGTCAATATATCTATGATACAATGAGCCAAAACAAAAAATACGATTGTCAGAGAAGGAAACCCGGTAACCCTGGATGAGGATACGGATCACACGACTCCGAAGCAGAAAGCCACAACTTTAATATTGTAAAAAAACCAGTAGATCGGAAAGATGGTAACCAGGGGAAACCTGGCATGCCTTAAAAAAAGGAAAGAGTTTGAGGGAACGGAAGGAGACCAGAAACAACCGGAAGAAAGACTTTCTTCTATGGAGGAGACATCACGATAGGAGCGGACAGAGCTCTTATGAACAGTTGCAAACAACTAAAAGAAATGTTGCACAAGAGAGGGGATGCAGAGGTAAGATTCCTATGTGACACGGAATTCCTAACAGGGAAGTCGAGGAAACTAGTAGAGACGGTTTTCGCAGAAACCCAAATTAAAATAGAAATATACGACATGGGCAAAGGGAGGCAGAAGGAAAGCACGGAAGGATGGGCTGTGGCCGCAAGAAAGCAGAAACGAAATCATCAATTATGCGCTCTCATCATCCAGGTCAAGGGTAAAAAGTGCGAGGAACTACTTACAGAAGTAAAGGGAAAGTTCGAACCTAAAGAGTTTAGAAACTATATAAGGGATTTAAAAAAACCAGAAATGGCGACCTCTTAATCACGTTAAACAAGAAAGAGGACCCGGAGAGATTAAGATATATTCTCAAAAAGATGGGACGGTGACACCATTAAGAACGCGAGTGACAGTAGGGTGCCCATATCTATCCAGGACATCGACGCGATTACCACACAAAAAGAGGTGGAAGTCGCCATAAAGGAAATGGCAAGGGGTGCAAAAGTGGAAGTAAAACCGCTAAAACAAGTTGCAGGAAGGCAGACCGCCATGATACTAGTAGACGAGAAAACAGCCAAAATAATAATTAAGGAAGGTCACATAAAAATAGGTTGGACCAGCTGCAGAGCCAGAGAGAATAGTATTTGAAAAATGCTTCAACTGCTGGAAAATAGGCCACAAGGCCTCAGAATGCAGAGGCCCAAGCAGAGAGGACAGGTGCAGAAAATGCTGCGACCACGCACACTTTATGAGAGAATGCACAAACCACATTACTTACTTTTGGACCTGCAAAGAGCAGGGCCACACTAATAATAGATGTCCCAAATACCAGGTGGCTCTCAGAGAGCAAATGCATTCTCAAGATAAACCGGGGGATCCATCCCGTAAACCCTCAAACCAGCTTCAGAAGGACAGGGCAGATCAACGTTGGTAGAGTCCCAAGGGCCCATGATGTAGCAATCGCTGCTGCGGGAAGATCAAACAGATATTATCATAAATTCCAAATATTATCCATATCTCAAAGTGGTCCGAAGTAGATTAAAGGGAAGTAAAAGGCTCAAAGTCTGTCGACCTCATTCGAATGAGGGAGGCAGTACGTGCCAATTTGTATAATTTTTATTTTTACAATTTAAAATTTTAATTCAACATTTAATTTTTTCTGTGGACACATAGTGATTGTACCTACCTACCTACTCACTTTCAAAAAATTTTTGCCTGATGATGACCTTTTAGGTCGAAAGCGCTTGCAACCCAACCTAATAAATTTATGTGGTCGACAGACTTTGAGCCTTTTACTTCCCTTTAAGATATTATCATGTACCAAGAGCCAAACAAACACTTAATAAATAAAACGGGTCTCTTAGCGGACGTAAGGCAGGATGTAGCAGCACTTGTAAGGAACAAGGGAGTCCAAAAGAGAAAGATGGAGAGAGCTGTACAACGATTTAGAGACAGACGTCTGGGGTCAGGGCTATAAGATCGCGACCAGGCACTTAAAATGGCAACACGTCCCTTACGATATGACCAACCAAAAAAAAGAGGCTCTAGAGGAACTCTTTCCAGATTGGGAAGAGAGAGACAAGAACCTGGGACACAGCAGAGGAGCATGGCGCCTTCACGACGGAAGAGCTCAGGACAGCCTAGATAAATTGAAGACAAATAAAGCACCAGGTTTAGATGGTATAGCGGCAGAAATCATTAAGATAGCTGCAAGGGTAATACCCAATGAACTCCTAGGGGGGTGTTCAACAACATCGCAAGAGCTCAGATTTTTTCCAAGGCATGGAAAAAGACAAAAGTTGTACTCATCCCAAAAGGCAAGCCGGAAGAAAACAAATACAGGCCAATCTGCATGCTAGATGTACTGGAAGAGCTCCTCGAGCAGCTAATTAAAATCAAACTCGAAACACATGTAACCCCCCACAGACACCCAATATGGTTTCACAAAAGGGAGATCCACCATTGAAGCGGTTGCTGCAATAACCGAAAAAACTAGGCATAAATGGGCAGCCATAGTATGCATCGATGTCAAAAACGTCTTCAATAGCAAAATGGTCCATTAAGGAGACTGCAGGAGCACCAAGTACCAGCATGGCTATTTAACCTAGTCCAGAGCTA